TAAAGGCATAGTTTTTTTAAAAAAAAATCTGTAAATGAATGCCACTAAAGACACCTGAGGACTTCCAGAGAGCAGAAACCTGCCTAAGGCATTCTCAGCTGTACCTATGTACAGAACCTCTTTCAAATGAACATGTGGAACATCAAGGACTTGGGAATATTTGGGGTAAATTAGTTGAAATATTATCTGTTTTTCTTCTATGGGCAAATAAATGCCTGCCTGGGGCTATAGTTGAAAAGAAATCCATGCTATCAAATACAATACGAGAATCAAAAATTTAAATTACAGAGATTTTATGTAATAAAGTTGCTACTAAGATATAATGGAATACCTTACTTTTACCAATTCACCACCACACAGTGAAGTAAATCAATAACAAAAAATTCTTTTATGCATAGATGATTTCTACTAGAAACAGGAAGTAGAACACATACTCATTGAACAGTGAATAGTTATTGTATTAGTGTTAACCGATAATAAATAGGGCTCTGAATAATGAGAGAAGTTCTTTAAGAAAAAGAGCTTCATTTAGTAATAATTACTAATAGTAATAATAATTTTTCCTTACTGTGTTTTATGCAGTAAGTTTATGCAGATACAGACAGAACACACTGGATAAAATGGTATTCCAAAAAAGGACAAATGACTAAAGTACAAACTTCCTTTTCTTTAACTCAAGGTTTGGGAAGCTTTTAATAATTTTATATAAGATACAAATAAGCTCATGAGAAATACAGTTAGGTACATTAAGAGCTGCAGTGGCACAGTAGTTAGAGTGCAGTACTGCAGGTTACTTCTCCTGATCACTGGCTGCCAGCAGTTTGGCAGATCAAATCTCACCAGGCTCAAGGTTGACTCAGCCTTCCATCCTTCCGAGGTCGGTGAAATGAGACCCAGATTGTTGGGGGCAATATGCTGACTCTGTAAACCACTTAGTGAGGGCTGTAAAGCACTGTGAAGCAGTATATACGTCTAAGTGCTATTGCTAAGTGCTATTATAATTTGTTTTGTATTTTCCCTCTAAATCTGACAGCATATGTAATTATGAGAATGCAGGTTGTGGGCCTACACAGACTCATTCTACCACTGCCTGGCTACTGGTCTTAATTGTAGGTGACATAGTTTTTCATTGACCAGGGCCTTTATCTCTAGTCACATTCTCTCTTAAACAGGATTCAAAACAGTATTCTAAGCTAATTATTTAAATTCGTTATAATATTAATAAACAGTATGAGAAGACAGAAAAAGAGGGAAAGGAATGCTCCCATTTGTAAATCAGTCTTTCTTAAACTGGTGTTACTCAGAAGTGCTGAACTAAAACTTTTGGGACTGGAATTAATTTCCAGCAATGCTATGAACAGAGCTTCATAGTTTGGGGAAGATTGTTCTAAATGCAGTGGCCAGGATTATTAGATCTGAATTAAACTGAGGCATCAAGTTTTATAACATAAATATCTTGAAATCCCTTTAGATAAATATTTTGGGTAATGCTTTAAAAGTTACTGTTAGTTTGCACAAGTTTCTTCAGAGATCACTGTAGAAGCAGAATAATGAACAAATATATACTTATAAAGTAACAGGGTTGTTTTGCATCAGATAAGATTAGGACCAATTATTACTCTGAAAAGGGTCCGTGTGCGTGTGCGTGTGCATGTATGTGTATGTATGTGTTTGCATACTTACTGAGGCTTGCCTTTCTGATTTTCTCTGCAGCTTTTCCTGCTGTATTAAGGCTATTGTAAAAAGGCCTCTTCAGATTTGGGCGACAGTCTTTTAGGGGCACAGAGTACAGCTTTATGGAGGGTCTTCAGACATTGCAGAGAATGATTGTAACCTAGAGCGCAGATATTTATTTGGAAATTCATTTTATGTCATCTTCTAGGTGAAGACTCTATCTAATTTTATGAATTTTCCATCAGGGCATATGAATTTTCATATGATCCCTTATAATTTTTTGGGCAACTCCTGATGACATTGTATAGGATGTGCATTTCAAAGGAAATAAAGCCCTTATGAAAATTCCTCTTCTAATCTTTGATTAAACTGTACAAAGCATACTAAAGCAACACTCTTACAAATCTCAAAATACCAATTAAAGAGAACCAAATACTTTTGGAGGCAGATATTAGATCAATACTGAAATAAATATTGTATTCCCCATATTTCTTTCAACATTAAAAAAAGCCCTTTTGGTCCTGTTAAATATATTAAGTATTCTTGATAGAATATATTCATTACATTACATTAATAGAATAAATCGAAGAGATATATGCAAGATAGAATATGACTCATATATGTATAAGGGTTAAGGTACGGGATCAGAGCAGGAAGACCCAGTTTCTAGACCACCTTTAGGGATGGAATTTGTGCAATGCATTCATACAAAGCCATAGACAAGGAAGTAAAAATAAAAATCTATCTATCAACTTGCACCAGATCAATGTGGTATAGCCCATAATTTTCAATGAAGAGACCTTTATTCTACAGTGGACTGGTTTGTTAACTGCTTTGTGTTGGCAAGAGAAAAATAACTAATTTTCCACTTTCTTTCGCATTTCCCCCAAAAGATAAAGTAACCTCTTCCCTATGAAATATCATAGCCTATAAACATTGTGCAACATGGCAACTTTGATCATTGCGTTAAAGGCCTTTCTTTATGGTGGTTATTGCTTAATAGATATCAGTGTCCCATTTGGTTTGCAGAGCCAGACTGACAGATTTTTTTCCCCTCCTCCTTCTGAGAGGAGTTCACATCACATAGATGGTTCCCAAAGACTGTTTCACAAAGCTTTTCTATTATAGAAAGAAATCTCCGCTGGAGGAGCTCCAGGAACAGATGTTCTAAGGCACCATTTAGCCTTTATCATATGAAGACATTCAAGATGGCTTATGCACCAGGTATTTCACAATCAGGATTAGGAAGAATCAGGCTGATTCTTCCAGGAAAATGTTCATGATGTAAACCCCGATCCACTTATAGCATCCTATTATCAAACTATGTTAACAGAAGGGTGAATGGTTATTGAATCTGGGTTTAGATGGGGGAGGGCATTTTTTTTCATATGTTTTATACCTCAATATTTTTCAAATACTGTTCTTTCACTAATTGTCTGAAAAACAAAAAGATAAACAAGTGTTAAAACTGAACACAAATTTAATATCAAGTTGATATGTTCAAAAAGATGGAGAATTGTTGTGCTGCCATATTTTATTGTGACATCCCTTCATATTAACAAGGCACATCAATAGAGGCTCTTTAATGAACCATGATACCATGTTTTCCAGTGATATAATTTTATCTTTTGATATGAGTCATGCTAAAATGGTTCTAGCCTTTATTTTCATTTTGCAAAAAAATTGTTAACAAAACAAGACCATGTGTATTACTTCTGCAAAGCAGTTTATTCTTACTCTTTTTTTAAAGATAACTTATACTATTATACTTTGCAAGCCCTTTCCAACTATCACATGCATATATTCAAAATTGAGAACAAGATCTTCTGATTGCTAAATGCATTTTTCTTTGTAAACTGCCTATACCCAAAAGCAAAGCAGGGATTCATTATGTGCCATCAAGCCTAAGTATGTTGACTTTTAGCAACCAAAGTGATAGATTTTCTTCAGGACGATCTGTCCCCAACCTGATCCTTTTAGATCTTCCAGTGGTGCATTCATTCATTGCCAGTGTATCTGAGTCTATTCACCTTGCTGTTGATCATCCTCTTATTCTCTTTCCTTCCACCTTTCCCAGCTTCACAGACTGCTCTAGAGAGCTAGGTCTTCCCACAATGTGCATGAAGTGTGATATATTGAGCCTGGTCATTTGTGCTTCGAGTGTGAACTCTGGATTGATTTCAGTGGTGGATTGCTCCCGGTTCGCACCGGTTCACAAGAACCGGTAGTAAAAATTTGTAGTAATTTGGAGAACCGGTAATAATATTGGCTGGCCATGCCCCCGAACCGATCCCTGGCCTGGTCGCCGCTCGCTTATCCTGCCTACCTCATCAGAGGCTTTTTTTTTTTAACTTTTAAAAGCATTTTTTCTACAACCTCTTAGGCCAAAAAAAAATGCTTTTAAAAGTAAAAAAAAAAAAGCCTCTGATGATCGCGTGGCTCAGCTGGGATTGTCAGAGGCTTTTAAAAGCATATTTTCTACTACCTCTTCAGCCGAAGAAGTTGTAGGGGAAAAAATGCCTTTAAAAGCCTCTGGCAATCCCAGATGAGTTGCCTGATCGTCAGAGGCTTTTAAAAGCATTTGTTTCTACAACCTATAAGGTTGTAGAAAAAATGCTTTTAAAAGTTAAAAAAAAAAAGTTGGTCACGCCCACCCAGTCACATTACCCCCCACCAAGCCACACCCACAAAATAAGCCATGCTCACAGAACCAGTAGTAAAAAAATTTAGAACCCACCCTTTGTTGATTTGTTTTATGGCCCATTTTTCTGTTGTATATTTGAAACTGAAAGTCAGATTTTCTGATTGCTCATTCAGATACATTTTCTTCACAAACCACCTATATTTTACACTGTAGGAATGGCATTCCCAGAATACGGACATTTCATAACAATGGGAAAGTCAGGTCCCTACTTAAAACATTGATTAGGAATATACGGGGGAAAAATGAAACCAACTTTCGTAATGAGATAAAGTGAAAGCCTCAAAAGCTTATATCATAATCAGTATGGTAGCTTTAAGGCACAAGAAGAATTCTTTTACTATAAGACACTTCAGAAATTCTTGGGTTAGACATAATCCCTAAACTTTCCTTCTACCTCCACTAAATCACTGCCCAGTTTTCTTTCTTCTTCTTTTCCTAATATGGTATAGCAGGAATAAGCCATGCAACAATGCACTTATCCTTAGAGTAAGCACCTTGAAAGTGAAAGCTGGCTGATTAAAATGAATACTGTGACATGTAGATAAAGCTCCAATGCATTTTCTGCCTTCAGTAGCAAGCACGCATATAGTTCAAGAAATTCATTTTCATGACCTAGACAGAGTAGCTGTGCAAAGTGTTTTAATATAGCTTGGTCAGTTACAGTAACTTTCCAGACGATTTGTAATACATACTAAAGCCTGTAGTTATATTTTTGTATATATAGCAAAGTTTCCCCACTTCCTTTGAAAGCAATGATAGTTAGGACAACCTTGTAATAATGGTTATATGATGATCTGTCTGCAAAAAGATCTATCTTGTCAGGTAAAGCTGAAGATGGTCCTTGATTTTTCAGACTCTGGTTTGGCCTCAGATAGTTGTAGGGAGCAGTGAAATTGTGAGTGCCGTCTGCTGGAGTTGCAGGCAAAATCAACATTTCTGCTAGTAGAATGAAGTCTGCTTGCCTAAAAAAGGATAATAAAGTCAGTGAGACTTCTAGTAGACAACCAGCTTCCAAAAGTGCTGGTTGTTGAGGCCATACCTACCAATTTTATAATAAAACTTACCATATTTTTCACACTATAAGATGCACCGGACCATAAGATGCACATTAGCTTTAGAAGAGGAAAATAAGAAAAAAAAAATCTGCCTCTGCCTCCCAGCATCCATCCGGTATTCATCTGACTAGCATCCTTACAGCAAACAGCCTGGTCAGCTTCAGCACGTTATCGCAGCCCCAGCACGTGACTTGTCAGGGCTCCACTCTGTTGCGCCCACCACCAGTCAATTGAGCTGAGCTTCCACCGCTGCTAGGGAATGCTGGAGCCTTCACTGCCAAGCAGCTGATTGGCGGTTGGATCAGCCTCCCAGAATATCACCAATCAACTGTTCTAGGTGGCGGGGATTGCTACTGCTGCTTTTCACAGCAGCTGCCTGTCATCACCATTGCTATGCAGCGGCAGCAATTTTATTTATTTATTTATTTTTCAGTTTTCTATACCGCCCTTCTCCTTTCGGACTCAGGGCGGTGAACAGCCAAGATAAAAAACATTTATACACAAAAGTTAAAAATAGATTTAAAATAATTAAATAAATTTGGCCCGTAATTTAAAACTTTTCAGTTAAAATCCATATCAAATTTTAAAACCAACCGTAAAATCAGGACAGCCCGGCTAACTGAAAAAAATAGGTTTTTAGGGCCCGATGAAAAGTCTGGAGGTCGGAGATCACTCGTATCTGGGGGTAGATTGTTCCAGAGGGTAGGTGCCACCACAGAGAAGGCTCTCCTCCTGGGGGTCACCAGCCGACATTGTCTGGCTGACAGAACCCTGAGGAGGCCCTCTCTGTGGGAGCGAACTGGCCAGTGGGAGGCAACTGGTGGCAGAAGGCGGTCCCATAAGTACCCAGGCCCTAAGCCATGGAGCTCTTTAAAGGTGATCACCAACACCTTGAAGCGCACCCGGAAGTCCACCGGAAGCCAATGCAGCTCGCGCAGGAGAGGAGTCACATGGGAGCGCCCCGTCGCTCCCATAATCCCCCACGCGGCCGCATTCCGCACCAGTTGGAGCCTCCGGGTGTACCCCAAGGGGAGCCCCATGTAGAGAGTGTTACAATAGTCCAGACGAGAAGTGACGAGTGCTTGAGTGACCGTGCGTAGGGAGTCCTGATCCAGAAAGGGGCGCAACTGGCGTATCAGGCGAACCTGATAAAAAGCCCCCCTGGCCACGGCCGTCATATGCTCTTCTAAAGATAGCCGTGCATCCAGGAGGGCACCCAAGTTGCGGGCCCTTTACGTGGGGGCCAATGATTCACCCCCAATAACCAGCGATGGCGCCAGCTGGCTATACTGGGATGCCAGCAGCCACAGCCACTCGGTCTTGGAAGGGTTGAGTCGAAGACTGTTTCTCCCCATCCAGACCCGCACGGCCTCCAGGCACTGGGACATCACTTCCAAGGCATCGTTGGGATGGTCTAGGGTGCAGATGTATACCCCAGACCAATCGCAATCAACAGCAATTGGCGGCAAACCAGTGGCGGGGATCCCCGCCGCCTAGAACAGCTGATCAGTGGTATTCCGGGAGGCCGATTCAACCTCCAATCAACTGCTCGGCAGCGAAGGCTCCAGCATTTCCCACCAGCAGCAAATGGCGGCAGCGGTGACAGGGGCAAACGCCACTGCTGCACCAACCACCCTCCCTCCATCGCAATATTCGCTCTATAAGATGCACAGACATTTCCACCCACTTTTTTGGGGGGTGGAAGTGCATCTTATAGTGCGAAAAATACAGAAAATTGCATTCTAGAAAGGTGCACTGGCAGTGTTACCTATAAGAAAGATCACACAAAATAATAATAATATTTTATAATAACAAATATGTGTGTAAACTCAAATTGAGAAACACTATAGTGTTTTGAAGCAGCTGAAAAAAATACTTTATTTTGTTCGTCACTGGCATTTCCCTTGTGTCTTTAATACGGGGAGGGGAACCTTTTGGTATCATATAGAGGTCATTGTTACCTTCTGTCTTCCCCAGACATTCTAGCCCCTCCCTTCTATAGCTGCTCTAGGAGTTCCCTAGCACTGATCTACCAGAAGTTTTGTATTGTAAAATAAAAAGAACAGCTGCCTATCCCAGGTTCTTGGAAAGACTCAATAGGTGGACAAAAATGTCAAATCCAGTCTAAACATCTGGCTGACCAAATTCATAGGTAAAGAATAGATGGTATCTGGCTCAATAGCAGTAACTCTTAGAGGGATCTTGGAGTCCTAATGGACAATCACTTAAGTATGAGTGATTGTTATGTAAAAGAAGACCAAAAAGAGGCCAAAAATATATGCTTTTCTACATCTTCCACATCTTTGGCACTGAAAGTTCTCATTGCTAGCTCTATTGCCAATTTTCCTTCATCTTATAGATTTAAATAAACATTATTAATCATAATTGTTTTTATCTTAAAGACTCTCTATCCCTCACAATCAGCTTATACTTTTGCCAAAGTTTGTGTTCCTTTTCTTATTTCTCATTTGAGAAAACTTTGGTTTCATGACCTTTTTATGTTTTCCTGTATTTCTGCTGGTTAGTCACACTAGCACCTTTCCTCTAGATTAACGGAACATCTCTGTTAGGAGTTATGTAGTTCATATTCCTTAATTTTAATGAATGAATTCCTTAAAGCAGTGTTTCTCAACTTTGGCAGCTGGAAGCTATGTGGACTTCCAACTCCCAGAATTTCCAGCCAGAATGCTGAAATCCACTCAGCTTCATGTTTTCCTGTGTTCTGAATCTTAATGAGAGATAACTAATATATATTGTACAATATTAAATGTTACCTAAGCTTTTCTTTGGCTCCTTAGCAAGCAATACATATACTTAGATAATCCTATAGATTTAAAGAGGCATGGAGCCAAGCTACATCAATATGTCCACTGCATTTGTAACAGTGTATGGGAATGGGAGGTTGGGCTCAGAGATGCTACTTAGGGAACAATCAGATAGGAGACAGCATAGTCTACAGCTGGATAGTGGATAGGGCAAAAGACTCAATAGAAACTCCCTAGTTTCTTAGGCTGTAAAGAAAATGATGGGAGACTTATAGCTTCAGACTAGCAAGATTCTATTAATATACTCTTACAATTAAAAAAAGTTAGTACCTGGTTGTTCTTCCTGTCTCATCTACCTAATAAGGCTGACATCAATCTTGGAAGTCTCTATATCTCTTTCAAAGTGAGAAAATTCAAGACTGGCCTCTGATCCTTATCTGCCAAGCAATTGGCAGCAGCGTTGTTGCAACACCAGTAGGAAGTAGATGCCCTGATGACCAATTTGCAGAATGCCATGATACAACTGACACAATAGGCTGGGGCATGTTTGGCTCCAACCCTCAGCAGCACCACAGATGATGGCTCAGTACATGCTCCTGCATTCCCATGATATCTTGTCAAAGAAATTTGGAGGGAACCAGGATCAATTCTCAACATTCACCGTTCAATATGAAATGTTTATGGCATGCAAGCTGGTGGAGTTTCCACTGATTGCACCAAAGTGACTTTTGTGCTGAGTTTGCTGAAGGAAGCAGTAGGTAAGTGGGCAAAACCATGAATTGAAGGAAACAATCCAGTGCTGGACAACTATCAGGACTTCATGTATAAACTTAAAGGACACTTCGAGGATGTCATCAGAGAATCACTGCTAGTCGAGGGATCTGGAAGCTCAAACAGGATGGAGCAGAGTAAAGTCATATATTTCATGCTTTAAATTGTTTGCTGGCGGTATAGGGTGGAATGATTAACCAGTTCAAAGAAGGGCTGACCAAGGACCTAAGAGATGCTCTAGTAAGACAAGGCACCTCAAATACCCCAGAAGGTATTGGCTGCACTCCCCCACCCTCCGAACCCTGAAAGGGGGCTCACCACCATTTGAAGAGAATCTGTCAGCTGATAGCAGGCACGCTTGCTTACTTAATTTTGTTATTGTTAACCTTAGTTCCCAGCAAGATGGTAGAATTCTCTGACCTTGTAGAATATGGAGCAACCACTAATTTCATAGACATAAAAAGTATAGAAACTAAAATTGCTTATTCAAGCTCCAGAAAGCCCAATGAAGTCAAGATAATTGATGGACAACCACTAAGAGCAGGGTTGATTCTGCAGCACATTGGCTCCTTTGCAGTTGACAATCCAAGATCACATTGAGTTCATAACATGGTATGTAACTTCCTCCTTGCAAGTACCTATCAATTTGGGAATAACGTGGCTTCAGCTGCATGATCCAGGTATAATTGGATGCAAGGGATGATCTCATTCCCCATTCCTAAATGCCAGCAACATCACTTACAAGCAGTGAAAGCTTACCTCGCCCACTCCAATGCAGAATGTGGGAGAATCATTACTGCCAGAAAAATATGCATATTTTGCAGATGTGTTTGGAGAGGAAGAGGCAGCTGAGTTACCTTGCTGCCCACTGGGTATGTAATTGCACCATCAATTTTAAACCAGAATCCAAATCCCAGGAAAGAGACAGTATCCTATGTCTATCCATTAGTTAGTCAGTTTCATTAATGTTTGGAAATCAACATCAAAAAAGGAATCTTCACACTTCCAACTCAACAACCACATTTTTTGTCCTTCCAAAACAAGGCGAAGCAGCAGCCACTCTGAAAAGAAAGGAGGGAGTCCCCATGCACAGAGTTGATGACTACAAAGACCTGAAAAGAACGGCATTTAGAGATGACTATCCAATCCCACTAATCTCAGATCTATTAGCTGGCTAAAAAAGGTACATATCTTTATAAAATTAGACTTGAGAAGTGCTTGCGATCTAATTGCAATGAAGGAAGGACACAAGTATTTAACAGCCTTCAGTACAAGACATGGCAATACACAGTGATGCCTTTTGGCTTGGTTAAATGTGAAGCTAGGGACTTATTGGTTTATTAACAACTTATTTTCAGAAATTCTAGACCAGTATGTGGTGGTTATACTTAGATGACATATCAGTTTATTCTGAACATCCTTTTCCTTGCATGTAACCATGTCAGAAATGTATTGCAAAAATTACAGTACAATAAGGTCTTGTCCAACTAGAAAAGTGTGCATCAGACCTTAGACAATTTGGGCTACAGAATCTCTACAAAATCCCATCTGGCAACAATGCTCCAGACATGCAACTTTGAGTCACACCATAATCAGATCAAGATGAAAATCTGGAAGGAGCAAGAAGACAGGCTGTTGATCTGTTTGACTAGATTAGGGCACAGCAACAGCAGGATGCACATGCCAAGACACGAGTGGATTACTTCTAAGAGAGACCAAAAAGGTACTGTTGTGCCTTTCACAGTGAAGGTATAGCTAAAGTACCTGAAGGTACTGTGCCATGACAACAAAACAGCAGAACATGGAGGGTATTTAAAACCTAACATCAACTTTTTGTAGCCTCATGTCTGGGCCAACATAAAGAAATTTCCTCTTGTCATATCAGTCATAGAGGAAAAAAACATCCCTGGTAATCTGGCTAGGTTATTGCAGCTGCAAAAACCCCTTCACAGCCCCAGGACACTGCTTCTCTAGATTTTATCACTGATTTTGCCCCAAGTCAGGGATATACTAATTTACTTGTAGTGGTGAATTTATTTACTAAAGTGGCTCATTTTATTCCTTGCAAGGATCCCTCAGTGGCCTAGGAAACAGCTCAACTCTTTGCAACATGTCTTTAGATATAATGGAATCAATCATGATATAGAGGTATAGAAATCAATCATATGATCTCAGACAGAGGAAGCCAGTTCACTTCCAAATTTTTGAAATCCTTTGTGCAATTATTATTAAAATTAATTCATCTTCCTCACATCATCCAGAGACCAATGGAGAATCTGAGAAGATTAACCAACTGTTATAAGCAATATTTGTAATACTATATTTCATACTAGCAAGACAACTGGACTGATTTCATGCCTCTCGCTGAATTTATTTACAATAATGCAATACACTCCTCATTGGTATGTCCCCATTCCATGCAATTTACAGATTCTACCTACGGGTCTTACCAACAACCAGGCAAGAAAGCACAATTCCATGTGCCTCAAACTTACTACACAAGAGTCAAGCAGCCCAAAGTCTATTATAGGAACAACTGAAATTGCCAAAGGCTACGTAGAAAAAGAAAAAAAGTAGGTGCATGCAAACAAGAGGGAAGTAGACTTGCAGAAGAGGAATTGGTGTGGCTTTCTGCAAAATTTCTGACTTCCACAAAACCTTCCAAGAAACTAGACCTGAAATCTGGTTCAGCACTTGGTTGTGTTTTCTGTCGGGTCTACCTGGTAAGGCTGATAGCTTTATTGATTCTCTTCTATCCATTAATAACTAGGCAGGATGGAAGGCACTGACAAAATCATACTTTGGCCTTCCCGAAAGCTAAGTAATAAATTATTTATTCCAGCAGAAGAAGAAAAGGTCAGAGATATACATTAGGACTCATTCCTAATGGCACTGTGAGATTCCGAACCACCTTATTGTTCTAGCTTAGCATAAACCTGTTGTTATAATCTCTTTAGGGGATGCTCAACATGAATAGTGAATAAGAAGTTGTAGTTCATGGCTGCCTGAAATAATCTCATATTTGAAAACTTTATGCCAGTGAGTGACACAATCAAATTTGCACAAATGCAAACAACTGTTGACAGAATTTGGTTACTCTCATTGCATGAATCATAATAATTACACATTCATTGTTTAGACATTTACAATTAAACTTTTTTGAGTCCAAACAAACTATTTAATTTAGCTCAAGTGGGCTTGAGGTTTATTCAGTGTCTGGTATAGAGGGTAATCCTGATACAGTGCAAACTGAAAGACAATTCATAATTGTCATAATCATAATTATCACTAAGTAAGAACTCAAATAGAAGAAATGGAGTATATCTGAAATATTTTTAATCAATAGGCATAGGAACTCTGTTCAAAGTTAGAAACGTGAGATTTGATACTCCACTCTTCTTTTAGTGAATACGTTTGTCTAGTACATCTTAGTTGCATCTGAGAAAATATCACTAGGCCAATCCTCCCAAACTGATACCCTTGACTCTTTTATGCAATGTGAATATTTGTATATACCCAGTATGGAAATTCTATGTGTTGCAATCCATATTAGTATCAGCTGGGAAAAAAATTGCATGAGACCTATGTTTGTTTTTAAATTGTGTGAAGCAGACAGCTATATTTACATGAATATACATAGATATTAATAGCCAGAAACAAAAATGGCTACTGTACATGATATAATATATAATATATCAATACATTGGGATATCTGTGCAGTTTCCTTTGTTATTTCTCCTCATAATGGATTCTGGTTTTTCTTTTACAATGACAGATTTTTATATAAAAAAAGTTTGCTTGAAATTAATAATTCAGGCCATAATTGTAAGCATCATCTGCCAAAACCAGAATTAGCTAGGCAAGACGGTCACCTTTTACCACAGCAGTTAGGAAAAGACTGAAAAGCCCATTATAAGTAAGCAGCCATTTTAAGGATAAAAAGTAGCAATTAGTGGGGACTGTTGTAAAGGTCAGGGGCCTCTAGCTGACTGTGGTTCTTTGTTATTAACATATTTCAGGTTTAGTAGGCATGTCTTGGCTGTAAAGGGATTTTATTCATATTAGCCTGAATACAGAACCATTTCCCATTTTCATTGATGTTGCAGAAAATCTCAGATTTGAAACTGATAGGATGATATTATCTACTACCAATCTTTTCTAGCACGGTGGGAAAGAGGCAAAGCCTGAAAGATAGTAAGGCACAATGAAGAATAAATAGGAGAGAAGCCTAAAAGTAACTCTTAACATTTAGGAGGCCTTTCAGATAATATTTGATTGGTTAAAGGCTTGCTAAGTTTTAAGAGGCTACTTAATTTGTCTCTTCATCAAAACAAAATCTGTGACCATAAGAGTGGAATTTTTTGATACAGCTTTCCAGTCTCCACTTATTACGCCCTGCTGCCTATGAAACCTCATTTCTGTAAATTAGATTTTCAAATCTTAGTATATTTAGATTAAACCATTCCATAACAGGAAATATAAAACACAAATTACCTGCTGCTGATAATGTATTATTTTAAACTGACATAAACCTTTGTATGCAAAGCATTTTAGGCTTCACTTAAAAACTGTAGCTCACTCCCTTCCACCTCCACTCATAGCGAGTTTAATAAGATGGGGAAATGCTGG